ACATGTATATATACTTAATATTATATCAATGAACTAATTAATATCCTCAATACATTGCGCAAGCAGCGATTCAAATAATAATCACAATACTTTAAAGTAGTTTTCGTGGTTTAATCAATAATCGTCTACATAATTTCACATCAGTTGCTTCTCAATAGCTGATAATATCGGATCATTCGAATTGATTTGATGTTTTACTTCAAATCTGTTATTTAAGCTTTAGTACACTTATTAATAATAGATGAAAGCAAATTTTGTCTATTCTTAGAAACATCTTATTTAACTTTGCATTATCTTCAAAACGAATGATGGGAGAGAGATGGAAAGTGATAGATAGAACGAAAGAAAGAGAATGAATACTAGCTAAACGGAGAAACGCAGTTAATGTCGCATTACGGTACAGACTACACAAGGACGTGCATCGTTTCGCAGTGTCCTCTTGTAAAAGAAGATTTCAGAAGATTTGCAACATGACGGAAACCAGTGACGAAGCCAGAGTAAGCAAAATCGCGAATAACGAACCTATTAATAACAGCTTAGATATATCTATTTATGAGAAGCCTTTGACAAGTGTTATCGATTTATTCGGGCGATTCGAGCTTGGCTCCTACTGGTACCAACGATCACCGACTACATTACGTTTTTTCAGCAATGTCTTTTTGCATACAAATTTTGCATATAAGTGTGAAATATCACGCAAGATGTATTTGCATTCATCCAGATCGCAATCTTGAGCGAAGTTGAACATATGCCCTTTTGCAAATTTAAGGCAGAACTTGTCAAGAAGATTTATTTCCTAACTTTACGAAAGTTTCTAATATGCAATTTTATCTATTAATCACCTTGCACATGATGAAACGAGTTAATAAAATGCAACGTGTCTACATGATGCACGCAATCAACAAATTTTATATGATGTAGATGCACAAAAAGCAATTGCGTGTGTTAATCTATTAAAAAAATTTGTGCAATGTAATGTTCTATCTATATCGAACATAATAGGTACACCGCTTATTTTTCAATATATGTATATGTACATATATATATATATATATATATATATATATATACTTATAATTAGAATCATATGATACACGGGCGACTTATTGTTAGTAAAGCTACTAAAGTAACAGAACACATACAAAATCACCGATATGATTTAGCTATGGAATAGTGCTATAATATAGAGTAGCGCGAATATGATTTTATAGCGCCACAAATTTATTTATAATACAGATTCCGTTGAAGAAACGCTTTTATTAGCATTGTTATTTAGTAGAACTATACTGAATTTCACATTAGTAAGTTTGTCCTGTCACTTAATTGCGCGATTAAATCGCTTATGTACTATGGCTTTTAATGTTATATTCAAATTTATACGAACCAACTACGATATACAGTTATATACAGCGATATATTCATACAACTTAATTTACTTGATTATCATAACCGATAATTTGTCTCAGCACAAAAATATCATGTATGAATACATGCTATAAATATTTAATAAGAATATTTGTATATTCTACATACTTACTGAATTTATTTATTAAAAATACTGTTAAATATTAATAGTATATTCATAGTATATGTACAGTATGTGTAAGGAGCAAAGGAAAAAAGATGAATGTTTAAGATCAAAAGGAAAGACCTCTTATCTGTGTCAGATCTTATCCGTATGGTAAAGTTGGTACACTGAGCAATTCATTAACTCTACGAATATTCTACGAGTATATATTCTAAGGATGTTCTTTTTATTATGAATGTATAGAGGAAAATTATCAGTATCATACCACTTTGTTTTTAGACTATATTTCTTAAATGAAAGTTAAAAATAAAACTTTAGAAACATAACTAATTAAAAAGTATCTTCTATCAGATGATATAGAAGTTTTTATAATACTGTTTATAATTTAGTAATAATTAACTTTTTCGTAAAATAAGTGAAAATGAGCCCCAAAACTGAGTAGGCAATAATGCCACATATTCCTATTCTTTCTCTTTTATAAGAGTCATTTATACAAAATATCTACAAGTGTATCTTTTAATATTTCATCGTAATTATTTAATACAATTATTATTTACATCTTCTAAACATCAGTTAGATATATTAATAAAATAAGGATAATTGAAACATGAATATAATAAATACATTTACAATTTTCAAAATATTTACTGTCACTATTTTTAAGATCCTAACAATTGTAAGATAATGATGTAATGTAAACTTCAGACTAATTATAGTTATTTTGGGTTTCGCGTGTTCCGAAATCATTTCCGAAATCGTTTCCGCGTGTTAGAATACTTATTGACTTACTCTATTATGTGTTATCTATTATCCGTTATTTCGTAGATATTACAAAACGTTTAACCCTTACAATTTCACGTAAGTAATGTAACAACTTGGATATATGCCATGTGCATAATGCTTTCATATCTACATTAAACACGACTAATGTTCGTCGATTTGTAAAGAAAATATCTACGATATAGTAATATTGACTAATAGCAAACGAGTAGAATCACGTGGAAATTCCCACACGACACGAGCAATGCGTCGAAGGGCGGTGCCAGACACGAAACGGTGGCACTGTGAGCCATCCCCTCGCACTACTTTAACGCTTGCAGAAATTCGACGAGTTGAGGGTAGCTTTTGATGCAACTTACACTTCATTGCTCAGTGAGCTTTCGACCACGTGCCATTTTCTACCTAAGTAATCCGTCATGTTCGTACAAGCTCCACAGATCATCAAACAAAGATCGGATAACTCCGAAGATGATAGTGATGAGGAAGGTCCTGAAGATATTCTCCAGGTCAATCCTTTGCAATAAAATTTGTTTGATAATTCTACGTGTTGTGTACAAGTGTTGTGTACAAGTATTATCCATTATTTAAAATATAATAACAGAAGGAATTATTATAAATTATTGATACGAATAATTGTACGAATAAATATAAAAAATACATCCTCATATATATGTGTATATATATATTATATATAAATAATATATATTTTTATATGTATATCAAATTTAATTTAGTTTCATTTTTTTGTCAGACACCATTAATGTTCATTATTATGTATGCCATTAATATAATAATTATAAATGTTATAAGTACATATATAGTATATATTAGTAATTCAATATTAAATTATTTAAGCAACGAAGATCCAGCTTCGATCGTAATAGGCATTTTTTAATTTCTAGTATTGATTGTATTTCTCACATATACGGTCTAAAATAAAGATATTGTATAAATGTTGAGTTTTTGAATTCATATATATTTATATAGATATAAATTTATTTATAACTGTGTAATAATCAAATTTGAGTTAACTGGGCGTTGTTAATAATTAATATTAAGTTCTTTTGTGTCATTGTTACATTCGTTGCGTTATACATTTTCATATTTCTTATTTAAAGAAATATTTCTTTTTATATTGCTTTATACAGAAACGACGGGAAGAATGCGAGAGAAAGGCCAGACGAGGAGAAATGGATCCTCGTTTAGAGTTCGCTTTTCAACTCTTAATGGATGCAACGCAATTATCGCGTCACGAAGTCATGGACCATGTCTTTGAGGATGACATGTTGGACGAAATCAATCAGTTGTTTGTGCCGCACATGAGATCTACTCTTGTCTGGTACTATCAGGAGGTTGAAGAATCAGAGCCTCCAGCTGAAACGGTACAAAATTGGTGATTGTTTGACAAATAAAGACAAAAATAATCGTGAGAATTTCATTAAAGGTGCAGCCAAAGACTGTTACTTCTAGATCAGCCCCAAATGCAACGGCATCAAAAGTAAAGGAACAAAAAGAATCAAAGGAGTCAGCAAAGAAGAAACTTTTTCTAACCGATGGCTGGCAAGTGCCTTGCACAGGCATCTGTATTTATATGTTTAGGTAATTTAAAATTATAATATTGCATCGAGATGCTTGTCATTTATTACATCTCTACAATATTTAAAAAATTTGTTGAAAGCAATATTTAATATTTTATATCTTAAAATAGTTAAAATTTCTATTTCCTCCTTAAAATATATAGAATCAGTGTGTCTAAACAATTACCAGAAGAAGGATTTCAAAAGGATCTTTACACGGGTGTGATAGATACAATGAAAGTAGGAATAATAACTTCTGTTCAGCGAATTGTTGAGCAAGTATTCATGGATGCGTTGGCGCATCCTGGTATAGAAGGTGAAGATAATTGTTCAATGATTAAAAGTCTCCTGTTACCAGGCTTAAGATCTTTTTGCAGCGCTCTTAAAGGTATTTTTATAAACTTATATAAATCTCATTTTCTACATCAAAATAACATTTACAAATTGTTAGAAATTTATATATAAAAATAATATTTTATTTTATTTTATTATAATTAAATGTTATAAAGATAGTAATATTTCTTTTCAAAGTTTGGTTTACTATTTATTATATATGTGATATTTATATAGTTTGCGAAAAGGTAGCACTTGATGGTGGTATATTCAACGATGGCGAGCAAATGATGCTGGAAGTGCACAACTTTGAAGAAGCAAAGGCTTTTATAGCGAAAGAAAATGCTGTGGAACGAATTGAAGAAAGAGTAAAACTTTGGATAAAAAAACTTAAAGATTTTATGGTGGAAAGTAAACAAGTTAAAAGAGAGAATGATATCTCTGGACCGCAGCAAGAACTCGAGTATTGGAAACGGCGGGGGGCACAATTTAGTCAACTGGTCAACCGTTTAAAGGTTGTATTATTTACCATCTCTATATAAAACTCAATTTTTTTATTAAATTACACACACGGAAAAAACATATTTGGTTGAATTAACTAAAATTGTGGTGAAAAATGAACGATCCAGAATTCTAGTTGAAGTTAAATTTACTAGATTTCTGGTTAAATCTATCAGAATTCTGGTTGAAATAATCAATTTCAAAATCTACCAGAATTCCAGTTGAAATAACCAATTCCCAATCTACCAGAATTCTGTTTGAAATAACCAGAATCTAGTAAATTTAACCAGAAATCTAGTAAACTTAACTAGAATTCTAGATCGCGTACTATAAGAATATAGTACAGTGTTCTTATAAATGTTTTTTCAAACAAAAAATTATAGGATCACGAAATTACTATGTCACTTTTATGTCTACAAGTCGCACGTTCAAAGTTAATTAAAGATTGGGTCGATGCGGAAGATGAAGTGACTTACTGTTACAATGAAGCGAAAGATAATGCAAAGTTCATCCAAGCATTAGAGAAGTGCTGTCATTGTCTTTACCTCGATGATCCTGTAAGTTAATTTTTTCTATAAGACAGGATCACGGCACATGAATTAATTTTACATAACTTCGCACGTAATTAAAAGTTTTTATTTTTACAGGTAAAAATGCGAGATTCGCTCGTATCGTTGTTACAGACTGTTCGATTAATATATAGTGTCTCGAGATATTATAATACTTCAGAAAGGACAAGTTCTCTAATGATTAAAATTACGAATCAGATGATTGTTGCCTGTCGAGATTACGTCACGAAAAGAGGTCGAGAAGTTATTTGGGGACAAGATCGAGCAGCCGTTCGGTCAAGATTAAAACACTGTCTACGTCTAAATAAGTACTAATCACATTTAATATTAAATAATAATCTTTTACAAGAGTTAATAATTTTTATTTTGTTATTACATCTTCAATCATCAAATTATATTTTCAAAGCGTTCAAAATATTCTTAAAAAATTTAGTTAAAAATATTTTTACACATTATCAAAATAAAAAATAATAACTGAATTAATTGTTATTTAGAGCTTATAGAGAAACGTACAGACTAGTTCGATGTTCACCAGCAGTTACGGAACAAGAATTTTCCTTCTCAGAAACTCATGTTTTTGGTCGATTTGATGCTTTCTGTGCTAGAATTCGCAAAATTCTCACTATGTTTGATCTCATACAAGATTATCAAACTCTCTTTGAAAGACGAATGGAAGGATTGCTTCTTGGAGAAGGTATAACATAATCTTAATGTTTAATTTTTATTATATAAAATACATGTGTATAAAATATAACTTGTTAAATATTTATTAAATATTTAACTCTAAATTATTGCAACAATAATGGTATTAATTTTAAACTTAAATAATTTTTCTATTGTGTAATAATTTAACTTTACATTTTTTACAATAAATTTGAATAAAATTATCTATATAACTTTCTTTCTTAATAAAAATCATAGATTATTAAGATTAATTTTGTTATAATTTTGACCAAAATGATGCAAAAATAATAATTAAAAGAAGCATATTTTAATTATACATTAAATAAATTGCTATATATCAAATTATAGCGTTAGATGAAGCCATGAAAACATTTGAAGAAGCTAAAAAGATTGCGACTAGCAAATCTTATGATTATCTGGATCCAAGAAATACTGATTTTGATATAGATTATGATGACTTTATGGCAAAGACAAATATGTTGAAAGAGAGCATCGGCGAAATTATTGAAAAAAATTATGCCGATGTATGGGAAACACCACAAGGTATACGGTTTTTAACGCGATTTGAAAAGGTGATAAATATATTCAACTTTTTAATAAATCTTCAAAAAATATTTACGCACAACATTTTAAAATTATTTATTTTTCTAAACATATAAATATATAAATATTCTTTTTCTAAATATTTTTTAAGGTCAGTGAAAAAATACCTCTTACAAAATTGGAGGAAAAATATAACATTGTTGTAAAGTATTGCGATAAAGAGATCGATCGAATTTTAAAACTATTCAAACGACAAAGAGACGATCCTCCATTGCCGAGACACATGCCGCCTATAGCTGGACGATTGACTTGGGCAAATTCTTTGAAGTAAATAAAATAATTATACTAGTTTGTGAATTCACACTTTTGGATTATTGCTTAAACAATCTTTATTGTTTCTTGTAATTTTTTAGGTGATAAATTAAATACAAATATATTTTCAAACAATTTGTTATCACAGACTCTAGTATTTTTTTATATATAATTATTTAAAAATTAAAGAAATATTAAGAATTATATATAAATTAAGAGATATAGTTTTAAATCAATATCTAAAGAAAAAATCTTTGTTAGAGTGCATCTGGACGAATTAACGGCATCTGTGTCAAATCATCCTGTTCTAAAAACGTTACCATTAACTGCTGATTTGGTGAAAAGATATAATCATGTAATTGCTATTCTGAAACAATATCAAACCGATATTGCTGAGATTTGGACGCATCAAAATTCTTGGGTCATCGAGGATTGTTTAAAACGGTCAGTTTTTAAATTCAATAATCGATAATTGATTCTGCTTTCTTAAAATAACTTTTAAAACACATATATAATCACAGATATTTATATTCAATAATAATTATTATGACAAAATAATTATTATAAAATTATTATAAATAATTATTATAAATAATTATTATTATAATTATTTAATATAATTAACAGACCGTTGCTTGTAGTCGACGAGAAATCAGCAAAAGTGAAAGTCAACCTGGAAAACCGAGTCGTTCTTCTATTTCGTGAAGCCGATTGTTTAGCAAAAATAAATTTGGAGATTCCAATTGTTGCACTAACAATATTAGCAAAAAAAGATTATTTTACTTTAGTCACGGATTCGCTCCAGCTTATAATCGAAGAATTTGTTTGTACTGCAAAACGTGTGAAACTAGAAGTTCGCCCATTATTGTTACCGCATTTAGTTTGCGTTGCATCTTTATTAGAACCCGGTTTAACAACCTTGACCTGGACCAAGCCAGATTGGAAAGATTTTTGCCACAATACGAAAGAGAAGATCAAAAGTTTTGATATTCTTATCACAAGAGTTCACGACGTATACGATAATAGGTATGATAAAAATAAAATTAACTGGTTGTTCTAAAAACAAATTTTTGAGCGATAAAATAAATATGTGTGTGCTTAAAAAAATTAATTCGTTTAATAACAATTAATTAATTAATTGATGCTAAATTAATCGCTAAATAATAATTTTTTTGCTAAAGTTTATAGAACATTTAGAGACTTACAAAATGATGCAAGTTAATTGAATAATATATTGTGCTAGGATTTTGCAGGTGTTGGCAAGTATGCGCAAAATAACTTTGCATGCTCTACCAGAATCCGATCAACCATGGACAATAGAGGAATTCATAGAGAAGAACGAGGAAATATGTAGAAATGCAGCAGTAGATTTGCATCGTAAAAGTACAATGGTCGAAGAAGCAGTGGAAGAAGTATTGCAGCTTGTCAGAAAGGCTACAGATAACTTCAAAAGTAATTCCAATCAATTTGATTTTCTTACTAGTGAAGGTAATGTATTAATGTTAATCTTTATTGTAAATTTTGCAATTAAAATATGAGCTTTTGTGCCATTCCATTTTAACCGTTACACCGACGAGATACTATTAAAGACGGCCAGTCTTACGGAAGTTGGATTATTTATCTTTTTTAACACATATATAAATAAAAATTATGTGTCTCTCATCTCATTTGCAATACTTATTTATAAATTATTTGACAAATATTTTGTGAAATTCTGGCGATAACATTTAAAGATCTTGACAATTTAATTATAGTTCCTGTAAAAATAGCAAGGAGATTTACAGCTATTAAAAATTTTCTACATTTTCTATAAAAAAAAAATACTGAAATAATTTTTATCTTTTCTATTTAAAATGAAGGAGCGGAAGGAGAAGAAGCAACAGAACAAACAGGTCAACAAGATTGGTCCGTGGTATGGAATTATTTCGATGATCCTCATCAATTATTAACCACACCCGGTACTTTACCTAAAGGCATGCAAGAAATGGTTCGAAATGCGGTATCCGAAATGAGACGATATTATTCTAGAAAAATCGTGGATGTATTAATAAAGGTCACCAGAGTATCTCTAGATGCGATCAGGAAACGATTCATTCGAGAACTTGATTCAGGTATTTTTATAAATAAAACTTTTGATAAAATCTTCATACTATTATAATAAACGCATTCCTAGCTTAATAAAAAAAGATTTAAGCTATTTTATTATAAAACATTTTTAATAAATCTCTTCACAATTATATTTAAAATTAATTATATTTTATAGAAACAACTCCGAATCCGGTGTTTTTATTACATGCAACACTGATGATTCCGGCAGTAACAGTCAAGCCTAGCCTGGATGATGTTCAAGAAGCATTGACATCAGTTGGAAAAGTTATCACGGGTGTTGCGAAAGGAGTGGCGCAGTGGAATTCCAGAGGAAACAAGGTAAAAGGATTATATTAAATAAAAGTCTTAAACTTGACATATCCAATACATCATTTTTATATAATTTGATTATTAGAGCATATGGAAAAATCTTCCCTACCCATCCAAACGAAATCTAGCTAATGTCGTGTTGCGAGCACATAGTAATGCTGCGAAGCAGAAAGAAGAACCGGAAGATATGAAAACCAGAAGGCGAAGACTTTATAAAATTCTCTCTGAAGAGAGACCTGTATTTCCAGTTCAAGAAAGAAACTTCTACACGATGGTGATGGATAATAAGGAAATCATCAAACTACTCGGCATGTTGAGCACTTGCACAATGGAATTGCGGCAAGTTAGTATAATAATAGTATGAGATTTGACATTCATCAATGAATTCAATTACCATGTTGAACTTATAGGATTTAACAGAATTTCTCGATCGTTGGAAACCTTACAAGTTTCTGTGGAAAAATGAACGCAGTATACGAGAATTGTTACAAATCTCCTTGTCAGAATTTGAAACTACTCTTCGCAAGCACAGTGAACTTGAAGATCGATTGGCCACTGAGCCAGATATGATCATATTTGGTACATCGATTGCTGTGTCGACGGAAAAACTGAAATATGGTGTTTATACAGAAATCAAAGGTATAACATTAATACAATATAATATTATTTGAATATTACAACTATATATTCAGCATAAATCGAAGATAAAGAGAAAGTAACAGAAGCGTAAACGAAGCTTCTAGAGCGGAAACGCCTTTTATATTATATTTCAATTTTCTCCTGCTATAGAGAAGCATCGTTTATGCACTCTCCTCTTACATATTTCGACTTATACTACAAAAGAAATACAGAATACAAAAATAATAATCTTTACACACAGGTTGCACACATAAAATTGGTCAAGCAATGAAAAAGAAGTATCGTCGTGAAATGGAATACGTTTATGCATTAATGAACGAAATGGATCGTAAATTAGATCATCAAATTCGCGATCTGGATGACGTACGTCTCATTATGGATACCCTAAAAAAGATTCGCGAACAAGAGGTCGACATGGAACTGAAAATTGATCCCATTGAAGAGGCTTTTAATATAGTTACAAGGTATGAGGTACCTGTAGACCAGGAATGCTTGGAGCAGGTAGATAATCTGAGAGATACCTGGCAAAAACTGTTGGCACGAGCGCAAGAAAGTCATGTCTTGCTATTGAATTTGCAACCACAATTTGAGAACGATTTAAGAAATAATCTGGAGAAATTCCGTGCCGATAACGAAATGTATTGCGAAGAATACAGATTATCTGGGCCGATGCAGCCAGGTTTGAGCCCCCGTGATGCTTCAGACAGACAAATATTGTTCCAGAACAGGTTTGATGGTATGTGGCGAAAATTGCAAACATACCAAAGCGGCGAAGAGCTTTTTGGTTTGCCTATCACAGATTATCCAGAGCTTTCGCAAATCAGGAAAGAATTGAATTTATTGCAAAAGTTGTACAAACTTTATAACGATGTCATCGACAGAGTCAGCAGCTATTATGATATTCCATGGGGCGAGGTAAGAAATTATACTATTGCTGTTTTTTATATAAGATATATATAATATGTGTAAGTTTTTTAATGTATAATTTAAATAATATCTATTATTTTAATTTTAATTTTATTAGTAACAAAATTTTAAAAATTATTTGTAAACTTTTTTAGTACACGCAAACAAATTGTTATATAAATTTGATAATTGTATAAATTATTTAGGTAAATATTGAAGAAATAAACAATGAGCTAATGGAGTTTCAAAATCGCTGTCGCAAATTACCAAAAGGATTAAAAGAATGGCCAGCGTTCTTTGCGCTTAAAAAGACAATCGATGATTTCAACGATATGTGTCCTCTTCTCGAGTTGATGGCAAATAAAGCAATGAAACCGCGCCACTGGCAAAGAATTGTAGAAGTTACAGGATATTCATTCGATCTTGAAAGCGAAGGTTTCTGCCTTAAAAATATTCTTGAAGCGCCGCTCTTGAAGAACAAAGAAGACATCGAAGATATTTGTATATCAGCTATGAAGGAGAAAGATATCGAGGCTAAATTAAGGACAGTAGTAAACGAATGGTCATCTCACGAGTTGACTTTCATGACATTCAATAACAGGGGAGAATTATTACTTAGAGGAGATACAACAGCAGAAACTATAAGTCAGTTGGAAGACAGCTTGATGGTTCTTGGTTCACTCATGTCAAATCGCTACAATGCGCCTTTCAGAAAGCAAATACAACAATGGCTTAGTGATTTATCTAACACAAATGAGATCCTCGAGAGATGGTTACTTGTACAAAACATGTGGGTTTATCTCGAAGCAGTATTTGTGGGCGGTGATATTGCGAAACAATTGCCAAAGGAAGCCAAAAGATTTAGCAAGATCGACAAAAGTTGGCAAAAAATTATGCAACGCGCTCACGAAACACCAGGAGTTGTACCCTGTTGTGTAGGCGATGACTTGTTGAAGCAACTTCTGCCACATTTGCAAGAGCAATTAGAGCTATGTCAAAAATCTCTGAGTGGGTAAGTATAAGATTAGTGATGTGTACATAATCATCCTTCCTTCTTAGCAAACTTAAAAGGAATCTTAAGTAGAACACAAACTAACAGTAACATTATATACATTAATATCATATTCCCACTCAACGATATAAATGTAATAACACATGTTAGGGGGACGTTAGGTACATTGTTGAGTAAAAAATTGTAATATTTGTAATGTTACTGTTAGTTTGTATTCTGCGGATTTTGATTGTTAATACTTTCACTTTAAATGTAGCAACTGCATCTTCAATATAAGATAGACAAGGGATACTTTTTAATTAATATTTGTTTATAAAAATCATTCTCTTTAATCTTAGATATTTAGAGAAAAAGCGCATGATGTTTCCAAGGTTTTTCTTTGTTTCTGACCCTGCGCTCTTAGAAATACTTGGCCAAGCATCCGATTCTCATACCATACAAAATCATCTACTATCTATTTTCGATAATACGCGTTACGTAAAATTTCATGATATTGAATATAATAAAATGACAGCCATTATTTCATCAGAAGGTGAAACTATACAAGTAAGTATGCATATTTAATAAAGGTAACAATGTTTTATACAACCCTTAAATATATATTGTCTTCAAAATATAGGTATATGTATATATTTGTACTTAAATTTGTGTAATGTTAACATAAGTTTTAGAAATGAAACTAATAATTTTAAAACAAATAAAACTAAATTTGTTTGCAACTTTCTTTAAAGCTGGAAAGAGCAGTAAGAGCAGAAGGTTCTGTGGAAACATGGTTGATGCAATTATTACAAACGTCTCAACTTTCTTTGCATTCTATCATCCGTCAATGCTACAGCATGATTAATGATGCAAATTTCAATTTTTTGAACTTTCTGGACAAAATGCCTGCTCAGATAGGTTTGTTAGGCATTCAAATGATTTGGACGCGAGATGGTGAACTAGCCCTGGCTCAAGCTCGCGCCGATAAAAAAATTATGACGGAAACGAACAATAAGTTCCTTGATCTTTTAAATACATTAATCGATCAAACCACGAGAGATCTTACTAAAATAGAACGAATTAAATTCGAAACGTTGATTACTATACATGTGCACCAACGTGATATTTTTGATATTTTGGTACGTTATTAAACTAAAATTTTTGCGTACAAATGCAAGTATTAGAAACATAAATAATCTAATCTAGAATCTTAGATGTAACAGGCAGATATACTAGTAATTTATACATATTCCATTTATTCAGTGTCGTTTGAATGTGCGGTCCGTGAATGATTTCGAATGGTTAAAGCAATGCAGGTTTTATTTTAAAGAAGATTTAGACAAAACTTCTATATGCATCACAGACGTTCATTTTACCTACCAAAATGAATACTTAGGATGTACCGAAAGACTTGTTATTACACCATTAACCGATAGGTAAATGCAATCATATTTTAGGACATTGTACGCCTTATTTCAGATTTTATATATTTTAGGTGTTATATAACATTAGCACAAGCCTTATCAATGTCAATGGGAGGCTCTCCTTGCGGTCCAGCAGGAACTGGAAAAACCGAAACTGTAAAAGACATGGGGAAGACTTTAGCAAAATATGTCGTAGTTTTCAATTGCTCTGATCAAATGGATTATCGAGGATTAGGTCGTATCTATAAAGGATTGGCACAAAGCGGTTCATGGGGTTGTTTCGATGAATTTAACAGAATTGAATTACCAGTTCTGTCCGTTGCCGCACAACAAGTTGCCGTAGTGCTTGCCGCAAAAAAGGAAAAGAAGAAGCAGTTTATTTTCACAGATGGAGATCAAGTCGATATGTTTCCAGAGCTTGGGATATTCATTACTATGGTAATCTGTATCATGCAACATAGCAGAATAAGAAACATAGTTCTCTAAATGAAAAAATTACACCTATTTATATCATTACATGTTTTTTTTCCTACATGACAAAATTTGCTAAAATTATACATATTATATAAGAGGTACATTCTTACGTATCTTTCTTATGACATATAATTTTTTTATATTTATGCAACTTTGTTTTTTTTATAATAGTATGACAAATTATTTAATAACGATTAAGATGTATAAAAACATTTCAATGTTACGTAAATTATAGAATCCTGGATATGCAGGACGAAAAGAATTGCCGGAGAATTTGAAAATACAATTTCGCACAGTAGCTATGATGGTGCCTGATCGTCAGATTATTATACGTGTAAAATTAGCTAGTTGTGGATTTTTAGAGAATATTACACTTGCTCGTAAATTTTATACTCTTTATAAATTATGCGAAGAGCAGTTGACCAAACAGGTACATTACTGTGCATTAAAAAGAAAAAAGAGAAAGACGTTAAAAAGAAGAAGGATTAAAATTTATTATAATATTTTACAATATATTGATCTCAGGTTCACTACGATTTCGGTCTGCGAAATATATTGTCTGTGTTAAGAACTTTGGGAGCGGCGAAAAGAGTAAATTCTAAGGACACGGAAAGTACGATTGTCATGCGCGTTTTAAGAGACATGAATCTTTCGAAGCTCATAGGTTATTATGCTAATTAATTTTTAAAAAAAGATGCATGATTAGTTGATACAAAGATATGAAATATATTTTTTTATAGATGAGGACGAACCACTCTTCATATCTCTCGTAGCTGATCTATTTCCCAACCAAGTTCTGGAGAAAACATCATATCCTGAATTGGAAGCAGCTATTAATGAACAAGTAGAGCAGGCAGGTTTAATTTATCATTCGCCGTGGGTGCTTAAATTAATACAGCTATATGAAACGCAAAGAGTGAGGCATGGCATCATGACGTTAGGTCCGACAGGCGCTGGCAAAACTACTTGTATACATATTTTGATGAAAGCACTAACACAATGTGGTAATTCCCATAGGTAGTGTATTACAATATGTATATTGATGGGTACAAATATGTATACCTCTGAGATAAAATATTTCAAATTATTTAAAGCTTTTTCTATAAATTAATAAACATTTAAAATGCAATAATGAATTATTTATTAATTAACTTTTACTAGAATTTATAAATATATATACAAATAATTTATTTAATTTTAGGGAAATGAGAATGAATCCAAAAAGTATAACAGCCGCTCAGATGTTCGGCCGTTTAGATGTTGCAACGAATGATTGGACAGATGGGATTTTCTCAGCTTTGTGGCGTAAAACATTGAAATTAAAGAAGGGCGAACACGTATGGCTAGTACTTGATGGTCCCGTTGACAGTATTTGGATAGAAAATTTAAATTCTGTATTGGATGATAATAAAACATTAACTTTGGCTAATGGCGATAGGTTATCAATGGCGCCAACATGTAAAATTATTTTTGAACCGCATAATATTGATAATGCAAGTCCTGCGACTGTTTCGCGAAACGGTATGGTATATATGAGCTCTTCAGGATTAGATTGGAATCCAGTTGTTACCGCTTGGCTAAAATCACGATCAACATTGGAGCAAGAAATTCTTGAACAATTATTTACAGATTCTTTTGCACAGGTAAATTAATAAAACAATTCTGTCTTTTGCAGACTACATGTTCAATATTTTTATTTTAATGTAATTTTAATGCTAATCATACAAAATTAATTATTTTCTTAACTTAAGAAAACATGCTCACTGTTGACCACCATTTGAACAGAAATTGGAAATAGATACAGAATATATATCCCATTTTAATCAATCCAATTTTCTTCTCTAATTACATAATTAGAGGATTCATATTATATGAAAAAATTATATAATTCCATTTAAAAAAGTGAAAATGATCTTCATATCTTTTTAGCGTTCCATCTAGAAAAAAAAACATGATCAAAATACGTTTCCCTCGTTCTACTTTTATCTGGAATATTTTTTGTTTCATAAATAATTTCGAAGAAAATTGATTGGATTGATTAAAACGGGACTCTGTATATAATAGGAAGATAAAATTAATTCGTATTTTATTAATCATAAGCATATATTAAAATTTATGTTTTAACTAATATATAAATTTTAAGTACCATATTGCTAATTTTAACATAAAAATATAATATTGTAATATATGTAAAATATAAATAAATTTTTAATTTATTAGGTCTATTCATGGAGCACTCAAACGTTATCGCTTGCTATCGATGTCTTGCAATGTAATATAGTAAGGCAAATGCTTTGCCTGCTGGAAGGTTTGATACCTCCGGAGACATTATTAGAAGAAGCAGAGGATGAAGATATGGAGAGAGACAAACCCCAGCCTTTAACGGCGGAATATCTAACACGTCTTTATGTGTTCGCGTTAGTGTGGGGCATAGGAGCATTGCTAGAAACTGCCGATAGACAAAAATACGACAAGTATCTTCGAGAAAATTTTGATACTCTGGATCTTCCGATTTCTGACAGATATTTGGATGCTACAGTATTTGACTTCTTCGTCACTGATAAAGGCATGTGGGATACGTGGACAAGTATGGTGACCAATTATGTCTATCCTGAATATTCAACACCTGACTATAGTAATGTTTTGGTGCCTATACCGGATAATGTCAGAATTCAATATTTGATTGATTTGATTGGCCGTCAGGATAAAGCTGTGTTGTTAATAGGCGAACAAGGATCTGCCAAAACTGTCATGATGAAATCATATATGAAGAAATCAAATCCAGATACAACTTTGAGTCGCTCTTTCAACTTTAGTTCTGCGACCAGTCCGTATCAATTTCAAAAAACCATTGAGAGTTACGTGGAAAAGCGTTTAGGAAGTACATTTGGACCACCAGGCGGTAAGAAGATGTTGGTCTTTGTCGATGACATAAATTTACCGCAAATTAATGAATGGGGTGACCAGATAACCAACGAGATCGTCCGGCAGGTTATGGATATGAAAGGGTTTTACTCCTTAGAGAAACCCGGTGACTTCACCGCCATTGTGGATGTAACTTTCTTAGCCGCTATGTGTCAGCCTGGAGGCGGAAGAAATGACATTCCCTCGAGACTCAAGAGACAATTTTGTATTTTTAATTGCACGTTACCTGACAACGCATCAATCGATCGAATTTTTAGCGCTTTAGGTGAAGGACATTACAATATTAAAAGAGGATTTTCTCAAGAAGTCCGTCAGCTGGTTAAGAAAATGATTCCTTTGACTAGAATATTGTGGGAAAAAACACGCGCAAAACTGTTGCCAACACCTGCGAAGTTTCACTATGTATTTAGTCTCCGAGATCTTTCAAGAATTTGGCAAGGCATGGTCGGTACGTTGTCTACGGTCATTGATAAGGAAAGCGTATTAATGCTGCTTTGGAAGCACGAATGTACGCGAGTGTTCAGCGATAGACTTACAATACAAAGCGATAAAGATTGGTTTGATGAAGGTCTAATTAGTGTTGTAGCTGATATTTTAGGAAAAAAATACGTAAACATGCTAAATCAAGATCCTACTTTCGTCGATTTCATGAGGTTTGTAGTAATAGTTATAATTATTAATATACATCGTAATTTAAAAAATATTGTGCAATATTAACAAGAAATTTTTTATGCTAGAGATGCTCCAGAACCAACCGGTGAAGAAGGTGAAGATGCAGACGTAGAACTTCCTAAAGTATATGAACCTGTGTATGATCCTCAAGTGTTAAGAGAGAGATTAGACATGTTTCTGGCACAGTTCAACGAAATGCAGAGAGGCGCTGGAATGGATTTAGTATTTTTCCCTGACGCTATGCTACACTTAGTAAAGATATCTAGAGTTATTAGGCATCCAAAAGGCAACGTGATGCTAGTAGGTGTTGGCGGTTCTGGCAAACAAAGTCTTACAAAGTTATCCTCTTTTATTGCCGGGTACAAGACGTTTCAAATCACCTTGACTAGATCTTATAACGTGGCCAATTTCTTAGAAGACCTGAGATTTTTGTATCGCACTTGCGGCACTCAAGGCAAAGGTACAACATTTATCTTCACTGATCTCGATATCAAAGAGGAAGGTTTCCTTGAATATCTAAACAATATCTTGAGTTCCGGAGTTATTAGCAATTTATTTACGCGTGACGAGCAAGCGGAAATCATCTCAGAGTTAACACCTATTTTAAGAAGAGAAAATCCTAAAAGAACTCTTAATAATGAATTAGTGATGGACTTCTTTTTACAAAGAACTTGTCAAAATTTACATGTTGTTTTCTGCTTCTCTCCTGTGGGTGAAAAGTTCCGGAATCGCGCTCAGCGTTTTCCGGCACTTATTTCAGGTTGCACTATAGACTGGTTCCAACCTTGGCCTAAGGATGCCCTGATTTTGGTTGCTGAACATTTTCTTCACGATTTTGAAATCGCTTGCACTAGTGACGTGAAAGTTGAACTAGTAAATGCATTAGGATCCATACAAGATATCGTTTCAGAAACATCAATCGAATATTTCCAAAGGTTTCGGCGCGCTACCCATGTTACACCAAAGTCTTATTTAAATTTCATCAGTGGATACAAAAATATTTATCGATCTAAACAACATGAACTTGGTGAAGGAGCTAAAAGAATGGATACAGGTTTAGCAAAACTCGAAGAGGCATCGATATCAGTTGAAATCTTAAAAAGAGACTTAGCCTTAATGGAACAAGAATTAGTCCAGGCTTCCGAGAAAGCCGAGACAGTACTTTTAGAAGTGACAGAGAGAGCAATGCAAGCTGAAGCTTTTAAGAACCAAGTGCAAAAAGTTAAGGAAAAAGCGGAGCAATTGGTAGCTTGTATAGCTGATGAAAAAGCACTGGCTGAACAAAAGTTAGAGGCAGCGAAACCAGCATTAGAAGAAGCGGAAGCTGCTCTGAATACCATCAAACCTGCTCATATAGCAACAGTGAGAAAGCTGGGTAGACCACCTCATCTTATAATGAGAATTATGGATTGTGTATTGATTTTGTTCCAACGGAAAATCGGATCCGTTGTGCCTGACACAACTGCACCGTGTCCTAAACCTTCGTGGGCAGAATCTTTGAAACTAATGGCTAGTACGACGTTTTTATTACAACTACAAAATTATCCAAAAGATATAATCAATAATGAAATGGTTGAGCTGCTACAACCGTACTTCAAAATGGAGGATTACAATATGGAAACAGCCAGGCGTGTATGCGGCGACGTTGCTGGTCTATTATCGTGGACAAAAGCTATGGCATTCTTTCATTCTGTTAACAAAGAGGTTCTTCCTTTAAAAGCTAACTTAGCACTGCAAGAAGCACGATTAAAACTCGCAATGGAGGATTTGGCGAATGCTGAGCGGGAATTATCCGAAAGAGAAATGGCTTTGCAGACAGTTAAAGAGCAATACGATAGCGCGGTAGCGGAGAAGCAAAGGTTGACAGAAGCTGCAAATGTGTGTTTAAGAAAAATGACAGCTGCGACTGCTTTGATAAATGGATTAGGCGGTGAAAAGATTCGATGGACCGAGCAAAGTGGAGAATTTAAGATTCAACTGGGACGATTAGTCGGAGACGTTCTGTTGGCAACTGGATTTTTGTCATATTGTGGACCTTATAATCAACAGTATCGAGCCAGCTTAGTGACTGCGTGGATGAATATACTGACTAACAAATCCATACCTTTCACTAAAAATTTAAACATAACGAATATGCTCGTTGACACAGCAACAATGTCAGAATGGACTCTTCAAGGATTACCAAACGACGAGTTATCTGTTCAAAATGCGCTTATTGTCACGAAATCTTCGTCTTATCCGCTTCTTGTGGATCCTCAAAATCAAGGAAAAATGTGGATCAAGAATAAGGAGAGCACAAACGAGTTGCAAATTACTTCGCTAAATCATAAGTATTTCCGAACTCATCTTGAGGATAGTCTTTCGTTAGGTAGACCACTATTGATCGAGGACGTCGCAGAAGAACTTGATCCGGTACTCGATAATGTACTTGAAAAGAACTTCATTAAATCAGGATCTATTGAGAAGGTCGTCGTTGGAGATAAAGAATGTGATGTTATGCCAGGATTCATGCTATATATTACTACCAAGTTACCAAATCCAGCATACAGCCCAGAAATATCCGCAAAGACATCGATTATTGACTTTACCGTGACAATGTTAGGTTTAGAAGATCAATTGTTAGGTCGAGTGATACTTATGGAGAAAGCCGATTTAGAAGCGGAAAGAGTCGCTCTATTCGAATCAGTCTTGACCAATCAGCGTTCGATGAAGGAACTCGAAAGTACACTGTTACATAGACTTACATCTTCAGAAGGTTCTTTAGTAGACGATGAAGCTTTAATAACTGTTCTTCGAGAAACCAAAACTACGGCCGAATCAGTAAATGAAAAGCTGCAAGTATCCGCTCTTACTGAGAAAAAAATCACCTTGGCACGCGAAGAGTTTCGTGCAGTTGCGTCAAGAGGATCCATTTTGTATTTTTTGATAGTCGAAATGAGCAATGTCAATGTGATGTATCAAAATTCGTTAAGACAATTCTTGACAATCTTTGATAATTCAATTACAAAATCTACGAAGAGTCCTATAACTTCTGAGCGGATAAACATTATTCTACGCCATCTCACGTATGAAGTTTGGGCGTTTACTCTGAGAAGTCTTTATGAGAGGCATAAATCTTTATTTACATTGATGCTAGGTATGAAGATAGATTGTCATAGAAGCGCTATTTCGCATGCAGAATTCAATGCCTTTATAAAAGGTGGAGCATCCTTAGATCTTAATGCAGTAACACCAAAACCGTTTAAATGGATACTTGATATAACGTGGCTAAATTTAGTCGAAATAAGCAGACTAGATGCATTCTCAGATATACTAACCAAAATTGAGTTCAATGAAAAGGAATGGAGAGTATGGTACGAAAAAGAGAAACCAGAGGAAGAAGATTTACCTTGCGGCTATCAAAAAAGTCTTGACGTGTTCCGAAAATTATTGCTTATTAGGTCATGGAGCCCGGACAGAACTTTATCCCAGGCGAGAAAGTATATCACTGAATCCTTGGGTAAAGAATACGGAGAGGCTAAAATATTAGATTTAGAAGCAACGTGGTTAGAATCTGAAACTAGAACTCCACTGATATGCTTATTGTCTATAGGATCCGATCCGAGTCCTCAAATTACAGCATTAGCTAAACAAAAAACGATTTGTAAGTTAGCAATTTAATTGTTTTCGTTACACAAAGAAAATTTAAGTCTTTTTTAACAAAAACAAATTGTGCTTATGAACGATATTTTTGTTATAGCATTAAATTCAGTATCTATGGGGCAAGGCCAAGAGCTCCATGCTCGAAGAATGATTAGCGAAGCTATGAGTACGGGTGGCTGGGTTCTGTTACAAAATATTCATTTGTCATTGCCGTTTTGTACGGAAGTAATGGATGCTCTTGTTGAAACGGAAACTGTTCACGAAGTATTCAGATTATGGATGACAACTGAAGTACACCCTCAATTTCCCATCGGTTTGCTACAGGTTAAATTCCTAATCCATAATGTGTGTTTAACGTATCTAATTCGCAACTATACGATATGTCGATTGTTATATATATGGAAAGAAGAATGATTTTGCGAAATAAATTTAAAGAAATATAATAAATATAAAAAATATGTTTCAGATGGCAATCAAATTCACAAATGAACCACCTCAAGGCATAAGAGCTAGTTTGAAAAGAACTTATCAAGCAGTGACTCAAGATGCATTGGATTACAGTACTCAATCGCAGTGGCCGCCCTTGTTATACGCTGTTGCATTTTTACATACTGTAGTACAAGAGAGAAGAAAATTTGGACCGCTCGGTTGGAATATACCTTATGAATTTAATCAAGCAGATTTTGCAGCATCGGTTCAGTTCATACAGAATCACTTGGACGATATGGATCCTAAAAAGGGTGTTTCCTGGCCGACGGTCTGCTATATGCTTGGAGAGGTTTCGATCATTTTTTTATTTTCATTAAATAAATATAAATCTAACGATATATTATATTTTTTATAAAATAATTGAACAAAAGAGCAAATAAGACAGAGATATACTGTTGGTGATCATAAATTCCAGAAAATGTCAAAATATTTTATACTTACTTTCAAATCTTTACATGTTTAGGTCCAATATGGCGGTAGAGTTACAGACGATTTTGACAAACGTTTATTAACTACTTTCACCTATGTCTGGTTTTGCGACGTGTTGTTACGACCCGGCTTTGAATTTTATCGAGGATATAGAGTGCCTCAAACCAGAAATCTTCAGGGATATCTAGACTACATTGATAGTTTACCTGCGACCGACACACCAGAAGTCTTTGGACTACATCCAAACGCCGACATTACTTATCAGATTAATACAGCAAAAGGAATACTTGATACAATTCTTAATGTACAACCGAAAGAGGGTGGTGCACAAGGAGGTGAAACTAGAGAAAACGTCGTGTATAAATTAGCCACTGATATGCTATCTAAATTGCCTAAGCAATACAATTCCTTTGAAGTAAAAGAAGCGCTTCAAAGAATGGGTCCATTATTACCTATGAACATTTTTCTAAGACAAGAAATAGACCGGTAATATTCCTTCTCGTCTATCATACATAAAATGAGTTTAAATATATTGTCTGTGAAATACCATTATATGTTTTATATAGTAAAAAAGATAAGACAAATCATTACTCTTTTTAATTTTCTTAACTGCGATTCTTTTTAGAATTTCGCGAGTCATCAAAGAAGTACAAAGTACTTTAACGGATTTAAAGCTGGCCATCGAAGGTACCATAATAATGAGTCAAGGCTTACGAAAATCATTAGATGCGATGTATGACGCACGTATCCCGGATAAATGGTTAAAAATATCTTGGGAATCGGCAACTTTAGGTTTCTGGTATACGGAGCTTTTAGAAAGAGACCATCAGTTCAGACAATGGTGCATTCATGGTCGTCCAAGAGTATTTTGGATGACCGGATTTTTTAATCCACAAGGATTTTTAACGGCCATGAGACAGGTAGGAAGTATTAAAAATTGTAATGTTAATAGTTAATAAATTTATATATCACATACTTAATGATAAAATATACAAGGTGTATCCTGAGTACGTTAAAAAATTTTAAAGGGTGATTCCCTCCTCACACAAATTCAAGACGAAAACCTATATGACTATATTTTATATTCGAAACGATTTAATTTCAAAGATACATAATGTAAAAATTGAAAATAAAATTGTTTTTCCCAAAAATTTTGGAATATTTTGATGAAACTTTGTACGTGTTTGAAGAACATAAAAGTCTTATCTTTTTCCGAGTTATAGTATTTTATATTATTTTTTTTATTCAATCAGGGGCGGTCCAAAGATAAGTGGGTACACTTTTTCGAGAAAAAAAAAAGTGGTGTGTACTATATTGATTTTTCTTAAATTTGAAATTTTTTTATGCTAATTGAGATGATCAACAGAAAAAAGATTTCTTTAATATTTTTGGTAGAATGAGCTATTTCCGGAAAATAAATAAATTCGAATTCGTACATTGCGAAATCATTTTATTTGATTTAGTAGATAATGATCTCAGAAATGGCTTATTATATCGAAAATATTAAAAAGATCTATTATTATTGCATCGAAAATATTAGAAATTTTTTTGCTGATTTATCTCATTTGTCATAAAAAAATTTCAAACGCAAGAAAAATCAGTGACGTATTAATTTTTTTCGTAAAAAAAAGCGTATATCCGCTTATCCTTGGGCCCGCCCCTAATTGAATAAAAAAGTAATGTATAGTGTCAAAAGATGAGGCTTTATATCTTTCAAACACATATAAAGTTTTATCAAAATAACCCAAATATTTTTGAAATTTTTGGAAAAAACAAAACTTTTTTCAATTTTGACACCATGTATTTTTGAAATTAAGCCGTTTCGAACATATGATCATATGAAATCTTCGTCTTACACCGGAATCAGACTATGCATTGAAGATTGAGATTAAAGATTAAAGATTGAAATTTCACCAATAAGGACAAAGAAATTTTGGTTCCTTTTGTTTTGATTGGTCAAACTTCAATCTTTCAATCTTCAATCTCATTCTTCAATGCGCAGTCTGATTCCGACCTTAAAAGAAATCCTCTCTTTGAGGTCCCTTAAAATCTTTTAGAATATTTAGGGCGACTGTTACCAACGTCAATTAACTTAATCGACGATTAACTCAATCAGCAGAGTTACTATTATAGATAGAAGATTTTCATTACTTTTATAACAGTATAGGACATTTAAGTATAGGAACGCACAGATAAAAGTATATTACGAAGAAATAAGGTTAAGAACGATATACAGTCTTGCTGTTGCCGATTGAATTAATCGTCGATTAAGTTAATCGGCGTTGGTAACAGCCGCCCTTAGGACACACCCTGCATACAGCGTGTCCGGTAAATTTTGACAAAAAGTGTTTGTGTATAGATAGAGCGGACTAAACTGAATCGAAAAGTCCTTTACCATTTTGCAATTTAATTTCGTTGCAATAACTAATTTTGTCTTTTATTATTTAAGTTGTTTTAACTTCAATTAAATAAATGAATTTTAGGAAGTAACCAGAGCGCATAAGGGTTGGGCTTTAGATTCCGTAGTTTTGCAAAACGTGATTACGCGTTATAATAAAGAGGACATTAAAAGTCAGCCTCAAGAAGGAGTTTACGTTCACGGTTTATTTCTGGAAGGAGCGTCGCTTGATAGAAAGGCTGGCAAACTCGTTGAGAGTAGACCAAAAGTTCTTTACGAACAAATGCCGGTTATTTATATTTTCGCAATAAATACAACTGCTGGTAAAGATCCAAAATTATATGAATGTCCTATATATAGGAAGCCTCAAAGAACAGACGCAAAATATGTGGGTTCTATCGACTTTGAAACAGATTATAATCCCCGACACTGGACACTTCGAGGTGTAGCATTGTTATGTGATATTAAATAAAATATTAAATAAGATATTATTATATGTGTAATAATTAAAGAGAAATACTTCAATAAATTATTTAAAATTATATTTAAATTATATCGGGTATAAAATTTTGTGTATTATTCTTACATTGTGATATCCGTCAAATCAAACAATAAAAAATTAATATAGTTAAATGTTCAATAAAAATTAAATTAATGTAATTAAATTTATATATATAAATGTTTATTTCATATTTAGAATACAAACATCATATATTTAAATAATTAGAAAGTATACAAAAATATACATTTTTTAATAAAATAAATCACAATGTTTCGCATATATCCAGGTAAGATTGTACTTAAGAATAGTAACTACAAAATAAGATACATTGAATGATTGACGCTATATAAATCAATCACAAAAAGTAACAGCCTTCTGCACGATTAGATTAATTATGCCATAAAAATATAAAAACGAAAATATTTTCTACTTTCAAAATTTAAGATAATCCGTAATAAAATATAATTTTTTTGTAATTTTGCATATATCATCAATTTAAAAGTAAAGAAATTTTATAAAAATAAACATTTCATATAATAAACAAAATTACAACGTAAAATTAAAATTTGAATATGTCAATCCAAAAACTTTGTGTGAAATTGTGTAAGATTGAGGAAAACGTATAAGATCGAAAAAAAATTTTTCATAAGTATTATTAATATTATGAAAAATTTGATTTGTATTTTTAATTTTAACAATCTTTTATTCTACGATAAAAGTAATTTAATAGATTTTATGATTCGGGATAATGCTTCCCAAGAAGCTTCCAACTTACTCCTGCCCATACCAAACTGTGTGAGAAGAGGACACGTATTAAGCTGTATTGATTTTATATAATATTTATCTGAAGTAATATCGTTCATATTAACTGTTATATCAATCTCTGATAGTACAGTTGATAATTGAGATATCTTTTCCATTATACCATCTTCGGTAATGTAGTCAATGTCAATCGTTTCATTGGTGAATATACATTCCAATTGTTCTAATATTTTATCACGCTTATCTGTCTCCAAGGAATCTCTCCAGTAAGTGTGGTAATCTGCTAATTTAAGACCTAAGTTAATTTTTCTCGATTTGATCAATGCGCGATAGCGTTCTTCTGCATTTTTATTCAATGTGTCTGTATCAATAGTTGTAATGGAAGAGTTTGAAGAATCTTCATTTTTCTGTTGACAGAAATCATATAAATTATTCCTAAGACCCTTTATTTTATCCACCATTCTTTTCGCTGCATCGTGTTTTGCTTGCTTTTTTGTAGTTGCTATTCCATCTTCTTCAAAATTAGACATTTTACATCGAATGGTGAAGACTTTAGCATGTGGTGGTCCAACGTCCCGGATAAGAATATATTCTGGCTCATGCAAATTGTTCTCAGCACAAAGTTCCTGAAAAAACATAGTGATAAATAAACCAATAGATACATGTGGCTGCAAAAGTAATTATATAAATTTAAGATAATTACCTGCAATTCACCTACGGCGTTAACAAAAGGTATATTTGCTATCTTTGGTGGAAGAGGAACAGAATGAAATGGTGACTTTGGCGGAGACACTGTTGGTGTATTAGCAGCTGGTAACTGCGGATAATTTCTATGTGCAGCAATCTCTGTTAGCATAGCTTTAGCAGCTTCGTGTTTCGCATCTTTTTTACAACGACCTGTACCAGTTGCACTGAGACTATCGCATGTAACTCGATACGTAAAAGTATTTACGTGACGGCCTCCACCATCATGTATCAACTCATAATCAGGTATCATACCCTGCTTTACCATCATCTCTTGGAGGATAGAAACAGGCGTTTTACTCATGTTGATCGAATTAAAAGTTTGTTTTCTAATTTTCAATAATTTATGGCAGTCACTTATCCGTATCTATTTGTATCCAAACAAAAAATTACTCTGAAAATAGTAGTTATACTTACAGTAATAAATTCACAACTTATATTAGCAAATTTACACACTAAAAAATATTTCGTATTTGTGTTAGAAATAGTCTACATAAGTCCTTGTTAATATTTTGTTAAATTTTTTAACATATTTAAGTGTTATTTTAACATAATGCAATTATGTTATTTAAATAGTTTGTGTTAAATTAATATCCAACATTTTTTATTGTTAAAATAACATTTTATGAATAAGTAAACGAATAATATTAAAATAATGTTTTTACAAATGTAAATTCTAAGATAAATAAATAAAATATGTATTAACTTAACATAGCATAAATGTCAATTAAAAAAAATGTTTCCATAGTTTATTTACATAAACTGTATTAGTATATCCCTTTTTTATGTTTAATTTTTAAATGATTTTGTGTTACCTTGTAACATATTCATCTTGTATTAAATTAACGCATAAATTTGAATGGACTGTTTGGAATACTTACAATGTGTTAAATTTGATACAAATGTTACAACGGTATATGGTTGAAACACACCAAAGGATGAAGAATATTTATAGCATCTCTTAATTGTACTTTACATTTTACTTGCGGCAAAGATATTGCTTTAATTTTACAAAAAAATCAACTATTTTAACTTTATCAAAACAGAGATCTGTTTATTTGATTTTTATCTTTTCTCTTTTTCTTTAGAAACTTTGAACATATCCATTTTATTACAAATATAGAACGAAAAAAGTACAAGAAAATACAATCGCAAGCAAGTAATAGCAAAGAAATAGTAACTTTGAAAAAATTCTCAAGATAAAATAAATAATACAGCATGTAAACTTATAAATCAATATTATAAAGGTTAATAAATAATTATAAATTATATAAGTTATAAAGGTTGTGTTCCAAAAATTACTGCCAGTACTAAAAATCTATATTTTACATTACATGCATTATAGATTTTCAGTACTAGCAGTACATTTTGAAATACAGCCCATGTTGGATATATGTATATATATTTATATACATATATATTATAATATACATAAATATATTATATGCATACAATAAGTGAGTCATAACCTTAATTATGCTCTCAATAATCAAGATAGTGTATATTAAGGTTATCATCACACTTCCATATATATTTTTATATAAAAAATATAAAAATAACATATATTACACGATTTAAAAATCGTATATATGTATATATATGTATATATATAATTCTTGAATTGTTTAAAATGCTTAAATATAAACAAAAATATAATTTAAATTTACTTTTAGTTTAGGAATGTTAATATCACGTGTTTCTCGTACATACTTTTTTTAATGTGAAGTGAGAGATGTAAAATTGCTTCAATTAATAACAATATCACAAGTTTGCTAGTATAAATTTTCGATGTGTAACCACAAACGTGAGCATAACACTGCTACAAGAATTAAGAAACAATTTATAGGAACTGAATCTAAAATCTAATAATCTACCCATAGAAATACTTTATAAATTCACAGTTTCAAAGAAAAACCTGAGAGCGGCCATCCCGGCCTTTTTCGTGTGACCTAACTCTTGGAAGTTGGAAGTTCTTGTACACTAGCGACATCGGCTGCGTTCAGCAGATTCAACAGTTTTGCAATCGTTTTATGATTCTTCGCTCAGATTGGGGCTGCGGTCCACTGGACGCTACAAACGCTTCGAAGCGTTTGAGCGACCAATCAGAACAAAGAATTTTACGAATTGACTAATCAAAGAACGCTTAGAAGCGTTTGTAGCGTCAAGTGGACCGCAGCC